CCCGTCCGGCTCCCTCCTCCCGCTCGGCCTGCACCGCGCTCAGGTCGCGAGCCTGTTTGGACCTGCGGCTTCGCTCATCCCCGCTCGCAGCCTCGCGCTCAGCCCTGGGAAGCGGAGTCTGCACCCTGAAACTCGGTGGCTGGAGCCGGCGGACTGGGCATGCTCAGAAGCCAAGGCTGGCTTTGGGCTCAAGTAGGAAGCTTTTGCACTCGGGAGGCAGCGGCGACTTTGGGGAAAGTTGATCGGAGAGGGCAGCGAGCTCCAAGACGCGGAGCAGCGGCAGGAAGGAGCCCCCGGCACCCCGGAGGAGCATGGGCACCCTGCGGGATTTACAGTACGCGCTCCAGGAGAAGATCGAGGAGCTGAGGCAGCGGGATGCTCTCATCGACGAGCTGGAGCTAGAGTTGGATCAGAAGGACGAACTGATCCAGAAGCTGCAGAACGAGCTAGACAAGTACCGCTCGGTGATCCGGCCGGCCACCCAGCAGGCGCAGAAGCAGAGCGCCGGCACCTTGCAGGGCGAGCCCCGCACCAAGCGGCAGGCGATCTCCGCGGAGCCCACCGCCTTCGACATCCAGGATCTCAGCCACGTGACCCTGCCCTTCTACCCCAAGAGCCCGCAGTAAGCAGGGGTTCCGCCGGGTCCGCGTGGCACCCTGGCGGCGGGGAGCTGCGGGTCTCTGTATTGTCTGTCGGCCCCCGCCCCTCCCGCTTGCCATGTCTGTCCTCATCCTCAGAAATGTTTCATTTTCACGGGCACTTCTTGCCGGGAGTGCACGTTTCTCAGAGCCAGAGGCACTGCACATACGTTGCCTTCCTGTCTTTGTCAGATGCCAAGGTATTTAAAAAATATACATGTACATTCATATGTGCCACGTACTGGACGCAGAGTTTGAGTGTGCCCCGGGTGTGTGTCGGCCGTGTGTGAGTGTCTGTGAAAGGAGAAATCAAAACCCCTCTCCCCAAAGCCCTGGCAGACCTGGCCAGCCAGAAAATCCTAAATGCAGGCTCATCAGACTTGAAATGAAATGCGTCTGATATCACCCTTACTTTCTGTGCTCTCCTGGATTTCTGTACATGCTAGCGCTTCACACTGGCACCCTTCAGACCTGGTGGTGTGTCATCATCAAAGTATAAAAAATAAGTAAATATACATATAAGAGGGAAGAATGCTTGATTTCCCGAATTGGATGACATTTACGATCCATAAATAGAAACCTAGTCGGTTGATTTTTTTCAAAATATCTTTTCATAACATCTGAGGGAGAATACTGCTTATTTTCTGCATAATTACTAATGAGCAGATCCCTCTCCCAAGAGGGCAGCATGTTTGTAGGGACACAGAGATAAGCGCACTTACCTTTGGACACATTGTTTGCCTTACTTGGGGTTTCTAATACCACCACTGTGCTATTCTAGCTTCTTAGAGAACAGTGTAGACCTGAAGTCAGTGGGCTTCCTAACTTGGATGGGGAAATTGAATGAAACTTGTTACACAACACTCAACTCCGAGTCCGTATGGAGAGTAAGCTGCAGGAATATGAGGTTAGCAGAGAATGAAGGAGAGCCTCAAAATGAATGGTAGTTTTTAATTAACAGATAATGACATAATTGACAAAGCAAAGCATTTGGCTGCTCCACTCCTCCACCACACCACACTGGCTGGATGACACGTGTTACATAATAACACAAGGTCCCTGGGAACCTTTCTCTCCATAAACACGAGGAGTTAATAAAAGGAGAAAGAGCAAACACTTGATGATCTCCATTTGAATTTATTGGATGAGGGTTCAGGAATATGTACTATACTTATACTTTGGAAAACTTAAAACAGTTGTACTTGTACACATTGGTTCTTATGGAACATTTACAGTTCTTCATGAAGGTTTAGCTTTAAGAAGAGTTTTTATTCTGGGAAGGAGTGGGAAAGAGACAATATGGATAAACATTTCTGAGATTCTGACCTTAGGAAATTACCCTGATGGTTCATCAGACAGACCTTAAAAACCTGAGCGATCGGAATCCACTGCCACTTTCTCTGGTAAATTAATTTGCAGTCCTGACATGCTTGCCTGTTTTAGCTAATGAGGTACATGGCCATCTCTCCTGGGCCAAGTTTTGCATAATGAAAAAAAAAATAACTCAAAGACAGCTCTTTGCATCTTTAAGCATTGTATAGGATCTCATTTTAGTATGCAGGGCTTTGTAGCAACACAGAGCAAACTCTGTTTTTGTAAAAAGACCATTTTAATGGATTTTATAATGAAGTGTGATGAAGCCAGCTGATAACTCCAGTTAAACATTCTATCAGAGAGGATCTGAAGGAATATCAGAAGCAGGCAATGAACTGCAGAATGTGGTTAACTTTTAGAAGCCTGTTAGTACTTGACATGTAGAATAACTAGATTTTTTAAAAAAAGCTCGATGGTGGAAAATGAAATTACCATGGCAAGTAAGTCAGAATGTCCAATTATAATAAGTGTTTTATCTATGGAAAATGCTATGTGTTCTGATATTTATTCAATATCTTTTGTTTTAAAGAACTCAGTTGTTAAGGTATTGCCATGATGGTTTTTGTGATTCTGAAGGATTATATTGAAGAAAATGATAGAATGTCTTCCAAGCTTAAATAATTTTGGAAAAACATCTGTTCTTTTTTCACACTTACATAAAGAAAACTAGAATAAAAATTGCTTGAATGGTAGAGTGTACCTTTCTTATGAGAAAAAGATGCACGTTGTATGCAAAATGAATATTATCTTTTGTCATTCAAATAATTGTACAGGGTAGCGCCAGATAGAATTAAGAATACCTGTTAGTCCAAAAATGATTACTGTGCGATTCAATTTGTTGCATTTGAATTACTTGACTATACAGAGACTTATTGGCAACAAGTGTTTATGTCTTTATATTTAATCTTTAGTGAAACTTAAATTTAGTCATCATTTAGATTACATATAGATATTGTGAGTTCAAGTTAAAACGAAACCATCTAAATATACTCAAATTAATTTCAACTTTATATATAATATTCTGTTTTGGCTGTCTTTCCATTAAGTATAGGTAACTTCCCAGCTACTATTTTGTTAAATTATTTGATGTATGAAAATGTTTGACTAGTGTTTGCTTACTGAAGGCAACTTTTGAGGATTATAATTTTCAAAATGGTTCTGTTTTTCTTAGTGGTGTTTTGATCATTTCAAAAATAGTACAAAATGTAAGCCAATTTAATAACTAATTCCCCTAACATTTTGGTTTGGAATTTTTTCTTTAAGGTAAGAATTGGAAAGAAGGTTGTCAGATTCCAGCAGAGAGCCAGAGCACTCCTGCTGCACCTTTGAGTTGAAATGAGTGTTTTTATTGGTTTCTTTCACAACCTGATAGGTATAACTCTTAAGCCTTTCTTAGGTTATAAATGTGAAGCAAAGAACTGATGTAGGAAATTGGAATCTGTACTCATTGGCTGGCAAATAACTATTTGAAAAATCTAAAACTACTAAATCATATGTTTTTAAACAAACAGCAAATAAACCCTTAAAAATGAAACAAGCAAGCAAAATTCCATGCATCCATTCTGTGAGATCAGATAGGCTGTTGGGTCTTATAAACTTCTAAGATTAATTTTATTTCGTGGCATTTCATCCCTGAGAATGGACTCTAGGCTAGATTAGAATATCCACTGATATATTGACCTACCTTTGCCATCATTGCCAAACCGTTTCCATTTTACTATCACAGCATTCCACATCATTTATCTTGGACTATGTAGACTTAAGTTTCTATCAAAATTTATCAGTGTTGTTGGATTTTTCTAAAGCTGTTGCCTTTTCACCCCAGAGGTAGCTTCATACCTCTGTTCTGTTTCACTTTGTGATTGTGAAGTACTTTGGAAGAGCTGAGGATAAGAAGAAATATATTTTCCTATTTTTAGAGGCATTACAATTAAAAAGGTAATATATGGTTTTCTTAACTCTGCACTAATATGCTCAAGAGAAATAAAACCTTCTTAAATGCTGTATGTTCAATTCTGTAGAAAGTTGAGACAATTTTAGAACTGCAGTGTAATTGTAGATGGCATAATATGAAAACAGAGATTTCTTTAAAGGTAGGAATTAAATTTCCATATGTGTCCTGTGGGTCAGTTCAGTACTTTGATGAGTCGTCTGCTATGTGCAAAACACTGTTGGGCGTTACAGGTAAGCGTTTCATCTGTCCTGCCACCAAGGGGTTTACAGGAATAAATAGTATTGTACAAGTTAGTTACTTTAGAAAATGGAGTAAGGTAAGTTGCAGAGGTGAGAAACGAAGTCGTTTGGCTAAATATATAAAATCCATTTCATTTTATGGTAGCAGAAAGTCCTGTGGAAGTTTTTAAACTAAGTATTTGAAGGATGGGCATGATTTAGGAGCTTGATAATTAAAATGAGAGGGAGATGGATGGGAGTGGGCTTGAAGGAGATACAGTCCAACCCATTAACAAATAGACAGGGCATATCTGGGGAAAGGGAGCAACTGGTGATTGTACTAGAGTTCCGTACAGGCAGGCACTCGAGAAAAAGCAAGGGTAAGGCAGCGACAGGAGATTTTCTGTTTCGATAACTTTGTAAAGTAGATGAGACCACTTCTGCCTGTCTTTAGAATAGCAAGAATCTGAGTGAGTGTGTGTGTGTGTTTTATACTAAGAACCAGTAGTTGCTCACTAGTAGAGTTCTCAGTCTTAGAATTTGATTCCAACTCTCCAGCACTCCCCACCAATACAGACCTGATAATAATAGTCATAACTGTATTAGGTTGTAAGAATATTTAATTTAAGAAAGCAGCAGGTGACTTAAACCTTTGAAGAAGCAAAGTGCCACCCTTAATCACACAAAGTTCCCCTTTTTTCCTCACTTCAGAATGTTCTCTTTGAAAATAATCTAACTATATGCCACAGACTGGCACTGTTGATTCCTCACATACCTAGGCAAACTGGACGTGGATGAGAATTGAACCTCATGTTCGTTTTTGAAATTCATCTTTTCTGTCTTGTGAAGGAGTTGAATTCTGACCTAATGTGATTATAATAGTTTTCAATTTAAGTATGATTGTTAATTTGACCTTACAGCCTATTCAGAGAAATTGATGTTGTGGAAGCCTTTATAAAAATGTACAAGACCAGGTTGCTAAAGTTCTGCCAGGATATTTTGGAGCACACACAAGTTATGTGCCCCTAAAATAAGCTTATAATACAAGTACTGATAAAGTGCTGAAACAGAGTAGATCCAGAGACTGCCTGGCATGTAAGTGTCTGTCTTTCCTTTCCATCAGGCCATATTTCCAAGCTCAGACTACTTGTTATTTTACTAAAAAGTTGGATTTGGATTCCTAATGGAAAATGGTAAAAGACAGGCAGTGTTTCTATTGTGGATGTTTGCAGGTTATAAGACACAATTTTTATATGTACACAATTTTTTTCCCTCTGTCTGCTTAGTAATGGAGGGTCTCCATGGTATCCTAGCAACCAATTTGAACACCAGGCTGCTGTTCTTTGTGCCATCTCTACCAGGTACTGCTGCCTGTCCCAAGGAACTGGGCCTGTTGCTAGCATTCCAGACCCTCTGATGTGAACCTTGTGAGCCCAGA